GTAAAGTAAGAATTGAACATGTAAATGTTCATTCATAGTCGTAACCAAGGATTTGTACGTTTACATATCTAATTTAACAGTTACGTTTCATGTTTCACGAATGGATTTTCTTACGATCCTAATGATACGTACGTTCAACCTTTTGGCAGCTATCTGTCTCCTGTAAATCGCTCTGGATAAGAGCATCTACTAAATGACTATAATGTAAAATGGAAAGTGCAGGTGTTCCTAATGTTTTGTACACTCAAATCATATTGAGAAATAATTAAATTTGGCATATTTATAAAATCTTGGCCCTACGCAGGAGCATTGCAAGACACCATAACTGTTGATCTATATGTGGCACAAACGTAATATTGATGTAATTTGAAACCTCTGTGTAATACATGTCATTAGGCAAGATTTAAAAATAATTTAAGAAATGTGCATTAGAAAGTATGAAAATTAATATCACAAATAGGTATGTTTTACTGGCACAAAGTTAGAGTGGGATCTCTGGGACTTTTAGAGTTATGACCATATAAATGATATGTGGGGTAGGGGTATGTTGAACTCTATTCTTCCTATTGCCAGAACAGCACAGAGAGCAGCGCTGCCTTTCTTTTGATCCTATCAGTATCCACACATGGTCCAACGACACTGCTAATATTATGCATAACCCTAACCTTAAATTAAGACCAAAAAAAATGAAGCTTATGAGGCATTCGTTGTATTCTTCAAGAATCAATGAGTACATATAGTAGCAAACGTCGGGGCAGGAAAAGGAACCCGGGGCGCTGGCGTGAAATTTGCCTACGCATCGCGCCAATAGGGTTAACCCACTTGGTGGGAATTGTAACATGGCTCATATAACAAGGATTGATATACTGCCCCCTCCAAACAGGAAGGCACATCCCCTTGCTTCGACTTCTCAGCCACTTTACAAGTCTGGGCTATGCGTTCCAATGGTCTCACAGCCGCCATCCCACTTCTGACACCAATGTAGCGAACGGCGGAGCAGGGAAGCAAACCCAGGTCGCTGGAGTGAAAGGCAAACACCCTACTGATCACACCAAAAGGATTTGCTTCCCATTTCTGCCGTTAGCTACAATATAAGTCAAAAAATGTATGTAGGAACTGCAGACTGCCCCTTTAAGTACATTTAAAACCAGATAGCTAACTTCAGACTTTCACTCAAGTAGCTAGGTAGTATTTTGCTAAATAGTCAGATCATTGGGGGAAAAAGTACGCAATTGTCATACTCATACTTGACTAAAAGTAATGATAGAATGACTCAAGTAAAAGCAACTTTACTGGGTGATTTTCACTTTTACTTTAGTAATTTCTATTAGGTATCTTTACTTTTAGTCAAGTATGACAATACTAGCCAGCTATCTAAAATGTACATTCAACCAGTCTCTTTGATTCATGGCTAACTTCTACCTCTTTATTCTTCGTTCTTCGCAGATTCATCGTCTTCAGCTGTAGAAGAATTTGAGCTTTCTATTTTGATCAATTTTTGCTAGCTGAGCAAAATAGCTATGTTTTGTTCTTTCCTTTCTTCGGTGTTGGCAGAGCCTTCCGTGGCCAGAGAATATTAGACAAGTCTATGTCTTAAAAACCTCAAGCCAACTATAAATTGTAGAAATTCGTATACAAATATTGAAAGCATTTAATGAGACAACTAAATATTGTCCCATTTACATTGTGTATTTTATTGACGTTCCCTAACTTACCGGCTATGTCTATGGGTTAGCGCCGAAGCACCTGAAAGGAATGGAATTTTCGGAAGTTTTTATTTTCGGAGTTTTAATTAAACACGTGATTTCTTTTGATAAGAACTGTACTGAAGACTTACTGTAAACCTGGGATACGAAATGTATGAAATGTTTGACTGTTTTTCATTAAAGAAGTTGTGTACTAAAGATATTGACACTTCTCAGCATGTCTTAGTGAATGGATGGAGAGGGTGAACTCTGATCCTAAGAGTAAAACTGATCCTAATCCATTTGACCTATGTCCATTACTAAATTACGTTTTTGATGATAATGTTAATACTCAGGAACTATGCTTGTCCTGGGTCATGTTCATTAGGCACCAAACTGAATAAATGTTACTTAAACCGGGAGTCACTACCTAGATTTGTCCAACAAGGTATGCTAATTTTAGTTTCTACAGATGGTGTTATGGGGATGGAAATGGTTATTTCCTCCATGCTGATCCATTGGTGTGTGCTAGATAACTAAAGCTTTGTCACGGATTCAGCCGAGGCTGCTCCTCCTCCTTGCTCGGGCAGGCTTCGGCGTTCGTCATCGCCGGAGTACTAGCTGCTACCGATCTATGTTTCTGTGTTCTACTTGTTTTGTCTTTATTGTTCACACCTGGTTCCCATTATGTATTGATTTCTTCCCTATTTAACCCTCTGGCTCCCACTAGTGTTTTGTGCGTGTTTGTTCTGTTTGGTTGTCTGGTGAGCGGGTTTGTTTCCTCCCTGCGTGGAAGGTTATGTGTATTTACGTTACCTGCGCCTGACTTTGTCCTACTGCATCACACTGACCTCCTGAAAAGCTTATTTTATTAAATTCCATTGTTGCATGCACTGCATTTTGCATTACATATTTGCTTTTCACTGTCTATGAAGATATATCCTGAATCCTATAAATTGTATGCATCTTTGTTTTTTTCTTCATGGTTTTGTGTCAGGTGATTGTATTCCATGACAATTGGTAGAATGCTTAGAATAGGTGTTGGAGGTTGAAATGGGAGACAGTGCTAATTCTTTAAGTTGAAGAGAATCCAAAATGGTGGAATGTGGCGAGCAAAATTACAAAGATTTAAGGTTTATAATCTGTTCTTTTCTTGCATCAATTGGTTGTTTTCTGCAATAGAATAGAGTTCTTAGAACTCGTCTGTGTTAACACTGGCAGTAGATTTACGATGCCTTTGGTGATAAAACCTACAGCATGCATTCCATAGAATTAATTGGTGTTTGTGTATAATGAGGTACCAGGGAGAGATGGCTCGGGTATGTATAATGATGAGTGGAAGCTTCTCTTAAGGGCCAAACTCTGGTTTCTGGACAATAAGAACAGTCTTCATAGCAAATGCTATCTGGCTGGGGGATACTCCTTTCTCATATATCAAGTCTCACCTTATGACCCATTCCATACATCTGTTATGTGTCATGTAGACTAAGAGGGTGTATCTTTGCTATAAAATATATTTGTATTCTTTGTGTCGGGGCTCTCAGCCCAATAGTCAAGACTGTTGGGCCAACCAGCCTCTCTTATTACCTTATTGAAAAGTTTTGAATAAAGTAATATCCTGATTGGTGATTGACCCTGTCTCTCCTCATTATTGATTAGAATTTCCACTACAAACACCCCTATGCTTATGAGCACATGTACCAAAACAACAGCTTGATATGAAACTATTAATAGCATAGATAGAGCTAACAACAATGGGTTCCTTATGGGAGCTAACAGAGCTATCAATGGAAATTAAATTAACAGGCACAGAATTACTATGTACAATACCCCTATCAACATGGGAAGCTGTGGCGGAATGATATCGCTGCGATTTAATGGGAGTCAATACCTTTGAGGAGCTTGATTTGATCAGTCATTGCCTCAGCGCTGCCTTATAGTGTTTGGACAGGATCCAGGAACCCAAATGATTAGGATGGATCCCATCCTCTGCTTTCAAAAGGTGTCAAAGTTGTCTACAAAAGTTACACCCAAGGAACTGCAGTACTCACGTAGCCAGTTGTGAAGTGCTAGTAGCCTGCTAAAACGTTCACTACCTCGACCCAACGAGGGCACAGGGCCAGAAATGATGGGACGTTTTTTGAGACCCAATCAAATCTTTAAAATCCTGTTTCAGACGTTCCGAGCTACCATTCCTAATGTCATTAAATCCCACATGAAGTACAACAGCATCAATCTGTGTGCTGACGTAGAGCGGTGGGAAGCAGCCTAGTAATATCCTGTACTCGGGCCCCGGGGTAGCACAGGGTTTTTGTTCCAGAAACCAAGACGTTTCTTACCATAGAGCTGCCAAAGACAACAGCCGGCGAGGTAGAAGAGGAAATCCGCCCATTCCGACGCCTCGCATGATTCGGAAGACCCGTCGAGGACTTGCGAGAGGCGGAATCTCGCACGCCTGCAACTCTTTGCACCCGGTTCGAGCCTCCCATAACCAACAAAGCCTCATTCACCGTAGAAGCCACTGGAGAGTGAGTCAGGACAGGGGACGAAGGTGCAGGTACCTCTGGATCTGATCGTGAAGCAGAAGCCTTCAGGGATGAAGGCGCCAGAACCTTTGGATCCAGGGCGGCAAAGCTGTTTGATGTCTGTATCCGTTCTGGACTTCCCACCTCCAAGGAGGCCCCAATTGCCAAAGGCGAGTGACGTGCCTCCATGGCTGGTTGGCAGGGTCAATAATAGGAACATCCACTAAGTCATCCAGAAGCATCCTACTAACTCAATTTTCCAGGGAAGGGGGAGACCCCTTCGAGGAGGGATACCTGCAGAGCACCGGCTAGTCTGTTATGGAGAGACGACAAGGTGGCGACACTCCCATCAGGTCAGAGCGGCATCCAGCTACTCCAGTGAAATGAAAGTAGGCGGACGTGGATTCCCCAGTAGCTTGTGTAAATGTTCTACTTGTTTGCTAAGAGTAGCTACTTCGCCTCTGTAGTCCTCTGCAAGCAAATAGTTGCTACATTGAAAGTCCGGACAGTCCACATTGTCCCGGAATAGAGCAAAATAAACACAGCTCCAGACAATTATAATATTGATGAAAATCCAGTGTCTGCGTTATGACTAACATATGATTACATGATGACACACTCATTCTCTTGTTTTTTTTTCTGATGATTTCTAAACCAGCTATGATACTCATTTAACTCTGTAACGCAACCTTGTGAGTGAATCACAGGCAGATTTTGTCATGTCTGCTGCAAATTCTCTCTAAAGATGTTGAATATTTCAGTATTTTCCATCTTCTTTTGCTCCTCTAGTACACACAGTCCCAGGAAGAAACTGAAACCCAGTAAGTATACCAGGAGGAATGTGGTGTCATAATCACCTAAATGCTTTACTTGTCATTACTTGGGTGTTTTGGCAATGAACTGTGTTCTTTGTGCTTTTCTCCCAACAGTTATCAAGAATATTTTGACATATAACAATGATTTTCCTTTTGATGTGCAGCCAGTGCCCTTGAGGTAAATTCTGATCTGTGAACCATCCCAATGCAGGCTACTTACTGATGTACCCAATGTAGAGACGCACACAAAACCCGTTTTTGGTTTGAGTGCACAATAATCAGAACAATTCAGAGCAAATTATGCAGTAGAACAATGGCTGCCCCAGCTGAATGCTCTAATCTAATGTTATGTGTTTTGTTACTATCTCCTAACAACATGCTGAGCCTGTAAACATTCAAAACAAGTTATGGACAATAAAGTAATCTAACTAATGAAATCTTAAATTCAGGAGAATCCTTGCTCCAGGGGAGGAGGAGAACCTGGAGGTGGAGAACCTGGAGGTGGAGGAGGAGAGGATGCTGCTACAGGAACAGGCTACCCAGTCCTTTCCCAACAGAGTGCCAGGTAAGTACTCACTAAGTACTTGCAAAGTACTCTCCAAATACTGTGTTGTATTCACTATCTAAGATATATGGAGCATTAATAACCTTTGGCCACAGTATGTTGTATGGTGGATCTGTTGACTGTCATTTTGCCATGGTTGTTTTCTTCTAGCTTTGTGGCCCTGTTTTGAGGGCCTTTGTGATTGCAGTCTCCTCTGTCGCCCTACTCTGTCCATGCTGTGCATGGCTTCATCGCGCCATTCACAGCTTTGCAAGGTATGGTTTGCAATAAGGGTCTGTTTTGCCATAGCATGAAAATGATTGCCTACTAATGAGCAGCTTTTTATTATCAACAACCCTGTACTACTACTAGATAGGCCTAGTTGTTGAATCTACTTATTTACAAGCGTTCACACCACAGGTATTTCATCTCAGCCTTATCTGTTAGTCAGTCTACAGCTGCTTTTTCTGCTACCTACTATTGCATAGGTAAAATAATGGTGACAGTAATGTCTTGAAAATGGATCTGCCACTGTAAATACTGGCGACACTATGGCCTCTATGGGCCCTTCTCAAAAGTAGAACATAGGGAGTAGGGTGCCATTTGGGATGCAACCATTATTTGATTTAATCTGCAGTAGCTCTGGGAAAGTGGGAATGTTTTCAGTAATCAGTGAATATTTAGATAATTACAGTTTGTGTCACTAACAGGTACATTGTTGCCACGGCTACACTCTCAACCAGGAATGTCGCTGCTCATGATAAAGATTGACATGATTGGGCTGATAGATGCAGGGCAATGCATTGATCCCTATATAACCGTTAGTGTGAAAGGTAGGATACATTGTTAACATTGCAAAGATCAAATGCTTACAATACTGTATGTTCACATCTGAAATTACTGGTATGGTCTGAAACAGTGATAATCTAGAAAAATGTTAACAGAATGATCTCTGTTGAGGTGACACTTGAAATTAAATTAAATCTATTTCCCCCCCCTGCACAACAGCCCAAGAGAATCTTAAGGTTTTGTTTCCCAACAGATTTGAGTGGCATTGATTTGAACCCAGTGCAGGACACTCCTGTGGCGACCCGAAAGGAAGACACCTACATTCACTTCAGTGCAGATATCAAGATCCAGAGACATATCGAGAGACTAAAAATGTAGTCAAACGTTCTATTTCTACTGAATTAGTAGTGGGGCTAATGCATAGTATCATGTAATATTAATCTACTACAGTGTCAGTTAATGTTCAAATCCTTGCACAGTGATTGGGCGGACAATTGTTAATACTACATTTCGTTCATGTTCAAGGGGAAGCGATTTTCTTTGAGTTCAAGCACTATAAACCCAAGAAGAGGTTTACCAGCACAACATGTTTTGCCTTCATGGAAATGGATGAGATCAAACCTGGTCCCATTGTGATCGAGCTGTGAGTGACACATTATATTGTTCAGTAACCTCCTCAAATGCACTCTCTACATTTTCTTTTTAGTTTAAAATAAATTCAATTTGATATCGATTTCTTCAGGAATATTAGTAATTGTCTAGTGTTTGCCAATAAGATGTGAAAATCTTTTTTTGGGGTCCGTCTGTCCTATGAATATTCTGTTTGAAATATTCATCTATTTATGCTCTTGGATGTCAGATACAAGAAGCCTGCTGACTTCAAGAGGAAGAAGCTTTATCTCCACCTCCACCAGACGCTGCATAAAGACTAATAATCGAGAACACTGGATGGGGCACATCAAGAAGTAGACGCACCAATTTCTACGCTGAATTCCACTGCAGTGCAGTCATCAGACATCCAGCAGTTTGGTGTACCTACAGCCTATCTGCCTCCACTCACATCAGCAATACTAAACCCAGCAGGCCCAAGGCCACGCCCTTAACTCTGTGACAGGATGGTCTTCTTTGGATGATACATTAACTATACAACGCCCTGTAAGACCCCCAACGCTTCCTTTCTCCTTGACGTTCAATGGAAAAAAAGAGTGGCGAGTTAGCAATTGGTTATGTCAGTCAACAAGCAGAAAAACTACAACCATGCTCGTCTTTAGTCTTCGTCTGCCTTTCCCTTTGGGGGCCAAAGAGGTGGAGTAATAATTTGGTGGGTGCTTATATTTGTCCTATTTCACACATGTACAAGTGTGTATTAAAATGCATATGTGAATTGGAAATATGTTTTTTAAAATATCCCACTCTCCCTGAAACACCATCGGAGAGTGGGGTCATGGCCAGGGTCTGCCATTATCAACGGTGACCCTGGCGCAATTAGGGTTAAGTGCCTTGCTCAAGGGCAACTGGATCTGAACTAGCGACCTTTTGCTTACTGGCCCAACGCTCTAACCGCTAGGCTATCTGCCGGAACAACATGGTCATTCAAAAAGGATTCTGAAATGCTAATTATGATGTCACCCTGTTGTAAAGGGCTTTGAAAAGAGACACCGCATGTAACTGAAGTTGATTTCTAACTTTGTTTTTAATGCTGTTCCCATCAAGGCCACAATGGATAAGTGCTATTAAAACATTGGCTGTAACTGTAGACGAGAGCAGGGGTTCCCCAAAGGTTTTCACTCAGGCCCCCCCTTCCAGCATTGAGGAACATCCCTCGCACCATGTCTATTTCTATGGGCACAAGACATTGTTGGCGGAGAGAATATTGCAGGTTTAAAGCTTATTTCCTGCAATTCTACACATTTTGTCATGGGGTGCAGAGACAATATTGTAGTTTAAGCACATTTTCTTGCAAATCTATGGGCAAAAAAACCTAACTAAAATACATTAGTTGACATGGAGTAGCTGATCTGGACATTTCTGACAAGTTATAAATAGCTCTCAAGGTATCCAATGAATGAAATGACAAGAGAAACTGATGATGCCCTACCCAATTTCGAAATTGCACCTTGTGCATTCTACGATTACAACTTTCAAGAGTAATTTGAAAGCTGGACTAAGTTCCTTCAAAAATAAATATATTTTTTTGCACCCCAGTTTGTGAACCACTGGATTAGAGCATAGACTCAAACTGTCCTATGCTCGTACTTTTCCCCCGTGTCATCACTCAGAACAACTGTCAGTGTATACAGGAAGAACAGCATCATACTATATGTAGATTTGACAGACTTGATAACATACCGCATAACATTCTACATATGCAATTAATCAACAATCAGTCAAGTGTTTTGATCGCAGTAAATCATGGCTGTGGGTACGAAGAGCAATGCTCTTTAACCTACACAGTAAAACATCTCACCACAGCATACACTGAGCGCCATGATATTCATGTAATGCAAATCACGTACAAAAAAAATAGCAGGTTTTTTATTTATTTAAAAGAAATGGAAAAAAATGGAAAGTATCCCTGAAATGTAATATAACAAAACATTACAAAGTGTGAAGGTAATATGAAAGGTGTTAGATCTACATGGCTTTACACGTAATATAGCTACCCATACAGAACAATTACATTGAGCACTGTCAAACATTTCCCTTCAAACTAAAATGGGTTTCAAGAGTCTTCTCATGTTTCATATAAACAAATGGATTACATAACTGCAGTCGATTTGACAAGCTTTATTCATAAAATATCCTAAGAACATAGTAAAATAAGTTATACATCGGACCTTCAATTGACCCTTCACTAAGCCCCCCCCCCCCCCCTGGTTACAGTTGCAACCTCAGACATTTTCCAGGGAAGCTCAATTCCAACATGCATTGAGAAAATATAACTTAAAATCTGATTTAAAACCCTAATAATTGGTAGTCGATGAGACAGAGCTAGCAAACAATGTACAAATGTATAATTTCAGATAACAGTAGCAAGTACTCCTGGTGCACTGTGCAAATATTTAGCCATTTAAACATGCATTTTTTAAAAGAAAACTCAGTTTTTGCTATAGCCCTCACTGGCTTTCATGCGATTTAAACGTGAGCTTGTCCGAGGTGTCAGATTCGACGACAGTTGCTAGCCATTGCAGCGCTGCAATTGGTTGCCCAAAATGATGGAGCGGGACTTAGCGAAGGGTCAATTTAAACAGCTTTCCATTACAGTTCATTCTTAAGCGACAGCTTTAGGGAGAGTGGTAAGATAATACGTTACTTCTGAAATGATCGACCAAGCAACCTAAAGACTTGTTAAGCCCGCCCGCCCGCCCGCCCCTTTATTTTAAATCATTTCCACAGGAAACCATAACATTGTGAAATTAATACAAAATCAATGTAATATCCTTTAAGCTTTTTTTTTTTTTTTTTAACCTTACAAAATAAAAACGGAATTGTCCGGCATACAATAGAAATGTTATTGCACAATAAGCCTTCTTGCATGGTGGCAGCCTGTCATTACTCCTCAAGCCAGTTACATTTCAGACACGGAACATAAGACATTGATTTTCTGATGCTTTCATAGAAAAACTAGCTTTTTAGATGCTTCTGTTTGCAAATATATACATTATATATACACAAAAGTATGTGGACACCCCTTCAAATTAGTGGATTCGGCTATTTCCGTCACACCCGTTGCTGACCGGTGTATAAAATTGAGCACACAGCCACGCAATCTCCGTAGACAAACATTGGCAGTAGAATGGCCTTACTGAAGAGCTCAGTGACTTTCAACGTAGCACCGTTATAGGATGCCACCTTTCCAACAAGCCAGAGCTGCCCCGGTCAACTAGAAGTGCTGTTATTGTGAAGTGGAAACGTCTAGGAGAAGCTACGGCTCAGCCGCGAAGTGGTAGGCCACACAAGCTCACAGAACGGTACCGCCGAGTGCTGAAGCATGTAAAAAATAATCTGTCCTCGGTTGCAACACTCACTACAGAGTTCCAAACTGCCTCCGGAAGCAACGTCAGCACAATAACTGTTCGTCGGGAGATATATTAAAATGTGTTTCCATTGCCGAGCAGCCGCACACAAGCCTAAGATCACCATGCGCAATGCCAAGCGTCGGCTGGAGTGGTGTAAAGCTTGCCGCCATTGGACTCTGGAGCAGTGGAAACGCGTTCTCTGGAGTGATGAATCACATATTTTTTTAAACATTTTTTTTGTCATTTAGCAGACGCTCTTATCTAGAGCGACTTACAGTTAGTGAGTGCATACATTTTTCATACTGGCCCCCCGTGGGAATCGAAGCCACAACCCTGGCGTTGCAAGCGCCATGCTCTACCAACTGAGCTACATGGGACTCACGTTTCACCATCTGGCAGTCTGACGGACAAATCTGAGTTTGGCGGACGCCAGGAGAACGCTACCTGCCCGAATGCATAGTGTCAACTGTAAAGTTTGGTGGAGGAGGAATAATGTTTGGGGCTAGGCCCCTTAACGCTACAGCATACAATTACATTCTAGACGATTCTGTGCTTCCAACCTTGTGGCAACAGTTTAGGGAAGGCCCTTTCCTGTTTCAGCATGACATTGCCCCCGTGCACAAAGCAAGGTCCATACAGAAATGGTTTGTCGAGATCGGTGTGGAAGAACTTGACTGGCCTGCACAGAGCCCTGACCTCAGCCCCGTCGAACACCTTTGGGATGAATTGGAATGCCTGCTGCGAGCCAGGCCTAATCACCCAACATCAGTGCCGAACTCACTAATGCTCTTGTGGCTGAATGGAACAATTCCCCGCAGCAATGTTCATATTAATGCCCATGATTTTGAAATGAGATGTTCGACGAGCAGGTGTCCACATACTTTTGGTAATGTAGTAAACAATAAAAAAAAATTCAGCCAATTTAATTCTAAAGGGAAAAATAAAGAGAGAAATCGTGGTTGATTAAACATAGCTGGAGTCGGTAATGGTAGCGGGTGGTATCCAAGTCCTCTGACATCGTTGGTGGGTGTCTAAGGCTCTGCCATGGTGGAGCTGACTGAGTCCTGGGGCTGGGGGGCAGCTGCTGCCTGCTGGGAGCTGTAGTCTTGCCCCTGGGGGCCCACAGAAGAGTCATGCCCATGGGGGGCTTGCTGCTGCTGCATGGGGGGCTGCCCAGGGAAGTCTCTGGGGCCGCCGTGAGGAGGGTATGGGGCCGCTCCTGGGGGCAGGTGCTGGGGTGGGATGGAGTGATCACGTGGCCCGTATTGCACGTAGGTACGTGGGGGTCCCATGGGTCGGGCCATAGGGGGGCCGCCGCGAACACCTGGGGAGAAGAAACATGAGAATGTGAAAAACAACATGAATATAATACCATAGTACAAAAATAACAATATCACTACTAAGTTACTAACCACAACCGAAATAACAATAACAAAGAGTCAACTTGAGGTAAAAGATGGGGGGCTGAATTCAACACCTACCGAATGGGGGAGGCACCGGCCCATAGTGAGGTGGAGGAGGGCCCCGGTGGTGTGGGTGTGGGGGGCCGTAGGCACCAGGAGGTGGAGGCCGCTGTCCGGGTGGCATCATGGGACCAGGCAGCTGTCCATTAGGTGGTGGGGGTCCGGGAGGCATCATGCCTGGGTGTCCGTTAGGTCCGTTGGCTGGTCGGTACATGGGAGGCATGAAGGGTGAGGGAGGATGGATGTTGTGGGGCCCAGGGCCAGGAGGGGGACGGTAGCAGAGTCCGGAGGGATGGCTGATGACTGGTCTGAGGGGGCCGGGGCCTGAGTCAGGGGGGGAGCTGATGGGAGAGACCAGGAGGGAGCCAGGGCCCTGAGGTCCAGAGTTCTGGAGGAACCACCAATAAACACCATTAAAACACAGAAGTCTTAAAGAGTAGATGTAGCTGTCTGTAGCCCTGTTGCTGGCACCACCAGTGAGAGCCCCTTTCGTTTGATTCAAAACAGTTTCGTTAGAACAAAACACAATCATGCACTGGTGAGAAAGAACTTCAATATCCCACAATAGTAAGTGAAGTTACGCAGTCTCACAAAAAAAAAGAACAAATGATCACACATTTAAGTTCCACCCACTGTGATTTCGGAATCAGGACCGTTTCCACAAAGCATTAACCTCAAAACACACACAGCTTTTAATGATAACAAAATTCACATCATGCAGTTGTGCTGAAGTTATGGCTTTCTAGAACAGTGTCACCACATTTCATTCAGTGGGGGTGGTGTTGTAATGTAGGGAACTGGTAAGACAAGTACCCACGCATGTGAAAATCCAGCCAGCAATGTTCAAGTAACTGTTCAGTGTTCCCAGATTTCAATGAAATATGACCTATACCTAATTACAATATGAGTGAAATAGTTTTCCTTCCAAAAAATGGTCATTAAGCATGTTAAAAATAAGCTTTTCTGTGTTGGAATCGTGTGGGCGTACCCCAACAACAGAATGGTGTGGGCGTATACCGGTCATAAAAAATATTCATGCGAGTAGACCGCTGATTGGCCAGCTCATCGTCCTCAGGAGGATGACATCATCCTCGTATACCGGTATACTATGAGGAACTAGCACACATTTTTGAAATGGTCAGTTTGCGATACAAACTTGAGGTTGTTTTTTTCCTCTTCAATTTACACTTTGGCCACAAACACGAGTTAATCATTCTGAAAATCATTCTGTTTTCACTGGACAGTTACTGTTAAGTCTGACAACCCTGTGAAGCCACTAGCCCACTGCCTGCCATTGATCCATGACTGGGGTAAGCATGCTCACACACATATCCACATCCCTGCCACCGTGCCTCAGCCTCCTACATAATACTCACTGCCTCTGGGTTCTCTGTGGAGGCCTGGGCCTCAGCCTGTGACTCTGCCTCTAGTGGAGTGGTCTGCTTTAGAGCAAACACACCCACATGATGGATGGAGGAACAGGGGGGAGAGATGCACATAAGACTAAGGACTCAAGGTGTCTCATTGAAACTTTCCTTGGCTAGTTCCCCTCCTGACGTCGTAACGTAATAAGGAACTAAATAAGTTGTGGACATTGTCACAAATTGACAAACTTACCGAGCTTTCCAGACTGCTTGGAGAGGATGTCCGTGGTGCAATGGTGTCTAACGGCGGAGTAAAGAACAGAATGATTAGAGGAAATACAGCTTGGATAATACAGATATTGGATCATAGGGAATAATACTGAATCAACCTTCACTGACAAATAAAAATCACCCCTACCAGGTCTAGCAGCCACTGGGTGTTTGTGGTCAGGGGGGTAACGGCCGTGAGGGTCAGATGGAGGTCGTGGTCCTGTTGAACACAAAATACACGGTCATACATCAGCCTACTTCCAAGGCTAATGTGAACACTGCCATATTCTCTAACCTCTTCTTGGCTCTCCTGGTTGTCATTAGGCACCTGAGTCTTCACATTACTCGTTCATGCTACCATCTATTTATAGCAGTGTCTGGTCTATTTGCAGTCTCAGGAAAATGTTTGGCCATATCCTGGTAGGATATTATTATTCCACAACTAGAACACTTGTGAATCAATATTAATACCACATGGCTAAAGAACAACAAGGGAACACAACGGCTAAGGCTTTTGTAACCTGACTATCTCAAGGACATGCCCCTCACATATGACCTCACAACAGCTGAACACAACCAAGACAACAACATAGTACTGAAAGAGCAGGAGGAATGCACGAGGGGGATGGTGAAAGAAAGCGGAGGCAAGGGGACATTCTGGACCGCCTGTACACGCAAACCCGGTTGAGAAAGATGGGTACAGCGGTAGGTATGAGGAGAAAAGATGGCAGTGAAAGGAAGAAAATCAAAATGTAAACAGGAAGTAATCAGAAGACTAAGATAAGAGGAGAAAGTGGTCAGAGGTAGGAACCAACTAGGAACAGGATGAGAGCAGTAGGAAGAAAAGGGGACATGATTGAAACAGGATATAAAGGAAGGAAAAAAGGAAAGGTGAAAAAGATAGGAGGGGTTTGATTGGCTGAGGGACGGTACTGCTTGGCCAATCAGCAGGGCCGAGGCTGTCTGGGGCGGGGGTATCTGGAGACTCACCGTAGGGCTCGTTCCTTCGCCCCACAGGGGCAGAGGGAGGTCGCCCGGGACCCTCCATCATGAGAGGGGGAGACGGGGCACCTCCGCTCACGGGCGAGGGCCCGTACGAATCACCTGTTTAAACCAAACCATTTAACATCATTTAAACGATGAACACCCAACCAACACCACACAGCCAAATACTGTGGTCAGTCTCTCCACATTGGTCCAGCTTCAAGGAATAGGCATCAAACAACAACACAACTCCACATATTTCCAATGGTAGAGCTCCAACAGCAGATGGGCTATCCAACAGTCAAAAAGAAAAGTCCAAGAAATCATCTGAAACGCAATCACAGCTATTATCCAACTGACAATAGAATAGAGCCAAACCAACTGGGACTCTCAAAGAACACAAGGGTCTGTTCAGGAGGGTGCAACATTGCAGAATGTTCAGATATAAACATATGGTGTATCCATCTCTGTCCTCCAGAATAGGGAGTCATTTCAGCTCTATTCATTCCATGTCTATCTGCAAAATACAGTGAGCTCTAAAAGTATTGGGACATTGACACATTTTTGGTTGTTTTGGCTCTGTACTCCAGAACATTGGATTTAAAATGATACAATAGCTGTGTTCCTATACCCATAATAACATACTGTATAGTACATACTTAATGAGTATATACTACATACTATTAGTTCATTTTAGTATACTGTAAACGGTATCCTTTCAGTTGATTGTACTAGCGCGTTGCCTGTACCCTCAAATGAAAGCTGACAGTCTGCACTTACCCTAATAGTCATTGTATCATTTAAAATCCAAATAGCTGGAGTACAGAGCCAAAACAACAACACAATTGTCAGTGTCCCAACACTTTTGGAGCTCTCTGTACGTTCTCAACATTTTGCCTTACTGAATGCACCCCAGATGTGCCAGTCGCCAGCGCCTAGTAACATTGGGAACTCTGTGGGGATTGGTTCTTACCTCGTCGGAGAGGCATGGGAGCCATCCCAGGGGTGGGTTTGAACAGAGGCCTACGGAGCTCATTCAGCTTGCTGGACATCTCTGTCAGTCTAGGGTGAAAAAGAGAACAGGCAAATCTAGCCTTGTATAGCTAACCCCATTGGTATAGCCCAATTGAGTTTGTTGTAGTAGTGTTGTTGCACTCACTTGTTACGGAGGTTAGTTGATTCCTTTTTCTCGTCCAACAGAGCTCGCTCTGCGGCGCGTGCCATCACCTAGAGAGAAGGAATGTTTGGGACTTTACATTTACCTTACGAATGATTGGTCAAACAGTAGACATGTTTGTTTTTTTATGTCCTTGTCGTTCTACATGTGTGCCATCAGTGGGGGGTTGAGAAACGAGCAGCAGACACACTAACGTTGTTGCTGTAACAAATAAGTTGTACTGCATTGTACATACCCAGTTCTCGTGGGATTTCTGCTCTTGCTCAATGATCTGGGCTTTGTAGGACTTCTCGGTCTGTTTCAGCTCGTCCTGGATCTCCTTGATACGCTGCCTGCATACCTTGACCTCCTCCTCGGCCTCCAGGGCCATTGCCGTCCACCTCAGTCAGCCTGTCCTCCTTGTTGCGACGCTCAAACTCCTCCTTGGTCAGCTTCCTGTGAGGTGACACACACACAAATCAAATCAAGCTTTATTTAAAGTGCATTCAATAATCTCAATATACTTCACAGCAAAAAAATAAAAGAGACGTTTTGAAGACGACACATTGAGGAAAAAGTCATTGTTCTTTTTACATGCCGTGGTGCCACTGAGAACAAACCCTACAATGGTGAACTGAACTGAAAAGCATCTAGCTCTACTTACTGCTGCAAGGCGTTCTCCTTCTGCTGGTACATCTCTGTGATGATCTCGTTCTTCTGCTGCAGTGTCTTGTACTGGTTCTCCAGGTGGTTCTTATCACTTTTCACCAACAAGATGTCGTGCTCCAGCTTCTGGTATTGTTCTGTGGCGATAACAAGTTGATTGTGTTGAGAGAGAGAGAAAAGGGAGTGATGCATATCAAACTCTAGCTGCTGGGATATAGTGCTTGACATACCTTCCAGCTCTTTCCTGGCTTTCTCTTCGTTCAGCAGCTTGGTCATGAAGCGATCGCGCTCTTCCTCCACGACAGAAAGAGTAGTCTGGACCTGTGGTAAGTTGTGCCAAGAGTTAGTAAGAGTTGACTCACTTCTTGGTTCTGAGTATCAGTATTTTGGCTTTCAGGTACACAGAAATTTGGGTTTGTTCAAGAATGGACTCCGTCTTACCCGAGAGACATCCATCATTTGCTTAATGCGGTTTCGGATGACGGTCTGCTTGTCTGAAACAGATCCAACATGATTCTAAACACATTAGGTTACTCAGATACAAACTGGGGCTATCCATATCGGCCTAATGATGCGTTCATCAGTCTTAACTGCGTCAGGCAGACCAATTCTGATCTTATTTCCACTAACTGGCTTTTGACCAATCACATCAGATCTTTTCACATCAGCTCTTTTTCAGAGCTGATCTGATTGGTCAAAAGACCAATAAGTGGGGGGGGGGAAAGAATTGGGCTACCTGTCTAAACGCAGCCTTAGTTGGACAACACTTACATATTCGACATGTTAATTAGCAAGTTATCAAGTTATTTATGACAAGGTGTCAGGTGAATTACCGTTAGAGGCTTCCCCGTTGGCCATGACGCCTCCTTTCAAGTCGTCGCAGGTCTCCAGGTCTCCCAGGAGGTCAGACAAAACCTGCCAGAGGGAGAGAACCACCAATTATACACTACACTTCTCCCCTGGGATCAGTCAACAAGAAGGACTTCCAGACTATCATTTTTGAACAAATACATAAAGCTTATTAAAGAGCAGTGCTACTATCAAGAGCAGTGATAGTATCAAGAGCAGTGCTACTATCAAGAGCAGTGATAGTATAAAGAGCAGTGATAGTATAAAGAGCAGTGCTACTATAAAGAGCAGTGCTACTATAAAGAGCAGTGCTACTATAAAGAGCAGTGATAGTATAAAGAGCAGTGATAGTATAAAGAGCAGTGATAGTATAAAGAGCAGTGATAGTATAAAGAGCAGTGATAGTATAAAGAGCAGTGATAGTATAAAGAGCAGTGATAGTATAAAGAGCAGTGATAGTATAAAGAGCAGTGATAGTATAAAGAGCAGTGATAGTATAAAGAGCAGTGATACTATAAAGAGCAGTGTGCAGGTTTCTTTTTTTCTCATCTTATTCTACTGTTACCATGCACCTGCAAAAAAGATAGCTCAGATGTTTGAGTGCCTTTTGAATTTTGGAACAAATACACGTGCCATGTTTCATTCATCATTAGGGTGCATTTGAGAAAGTGTGAACAGGAATTGAAAAAAAAAAAACATTCACACAACTCACCTCAACGTTATGGTCCTTCTGAGCGAGGGAGTCCTCCAGCTCTTTCTGGGACTTCTGGTAGACTTTGATCTTCTCGCTCATCTCCCTGTGCTTCTCCTCCCACGACTTGGCAGCATGGTGCAGCTGGAAGGAGGATATTAGGTCATAAGGACGGTGCGATGCAGGCCCTGCATGGCCAAAGACTTCTGCACCATATGTTATGTGGCTTAAAGTGTGAATGGTTGTTCCGTGTTGGTACTCACCGAGACGTTCTCCTGTCTCAGGGCGCCGATATCCTTCTCCAGAACCTGGTGCTGGACGTTCCGTGCATCTTCGCGGAGCTTGGCTTCTTCCATCAGAATGGTTTGCTTACAGAATGAAAAATAAGGATAATCAAATATTTGTGCTCTATACTGTGCTACATATAAGAAATGGCCACATTTACATGTTGCAATGTTGATGTTTACATCTTTGATATGTTTACATTGGACACGTTCACATCTACGATACGTACCTTTGAGAGAGCGTCCTGAGTCTTCTTTCTGCTACGCTTCAACTTCTCAATGGTTTTGTCCATTTCTGATATCTATAGGTATAGATAAAGATGAACATAATGACAACCATTCTTCTTCTCTGTGCTGCCCGACAAGTCATCCTATTTAGGCTATTAGCTGGCTAATAGTAGCTGCCTATGCGGTCTGACGACACAATTTTAGTAGTTCTTCAAACTAGATAAGGCATACTTTTAAGACTGTTGAATACCACCTAATCAATCAATTAGATGTCTTTCCAGACAGGAAGGAACTGCTCTCTAGGGCAGCTATCCCTTTCTTTTGTGTTCTGTCCCTTCCTCTATGTGTCTGCCAGGGCAAGTCTAGGTGCAATGGATTGTGGTCACTGCAGTTGAAAATTTGCTTCCTACAATGTTCCAAAGTTTGTGCTTGATTTGATTCCGCTCTAGAGAAACGGTGCGTTGAGCTCCCAGGAAAAAAAACGAACTTAATGGAATTCCAATAATTGAACAGACGTCGATCAATTGGTTGTTAAAAAAAACAACAAAGGAAAACCCCCCCGACATTTCAGCTTATCGCTCAGCACGACTCACCATATCTTCATGTTTCGCCATCTTTGTCCGCTCTTCGTCAAAGGATCTGGTGAGCAAGTTCTTTTCCTCGTCCAGGCACTCATTTTGTCTCTCCATCTCTTGCACAAGATTCTGGATAGATATTGAAAAAGAAAAGGATAAGTAAAAAAAAATTAAACGATGGAAAACAAAATCAAACAAGTAAACAATAGTCAGCCTGACAATGACATGTGATCATGAGAATATTTCCCAGAGGCTCACTTTTAGTTCCTGGATCTTCTCCAGAGATGAGGTGGCAGATTTCTCCGACAGCTTTTGCTTTTCTTTGAGTTCTTCGCCCTGAGGGGAACCCAGTAGAAATAGATGATCAAAACATGGTTACGCCTCTTAATTCACATTGAACCCAAAGTCTGGATCTTGGTCAGTGAAAAGTCTCAGCAACTTACCTGTTGTTGCAGTTCAGCAACCTTTAGGAGTACCTCCTCCTTCTCTTGTTCAAGCGTCTTCATCCTGTCCGCCATCTCTTTCTCAGTAGCTAATCAAAAATATATGTTAAGAGTACGAAATCAGACATGGCTTACACGTGACAACGACACAAGCCAGTAGGCATTATGAATGCACCATAAATTGCCAAAAATAAGTAGATGAACTTACTTAGATAGGACTTCCTTTTGACCTGTGAGAAAGACACAGAAAAGGAAAAAGGGGCATGTGAATTGAGGCAAAGTCTCTTCAACAGCAGCATGCAATACATAATAGAATAACATAAAGCAATACAAATGATGAAATGTAGGGTGTCTAATAAAAAATGCATATTTTGACCAATGGGTAAAATTATGTTAATTGTGTAGATACTCCTCTAAGAAAACCAATGGTCCAAACCTCTATCATAATCCATTAAAAAGTTATTGGCGTTTTTACCCTTGTAGGATGGTCAAGATTAGGGTGACTAAATCAATGGAAGCCAGAGAAAAAAATGTTGTCAGAAATCAGAAAACTTGGCTAACTTTAGGCTCACTGTGGAACGCATCTTTCTTCTTGAATCCGGAGGACATGAAACAATATAGAGGTAAGATAGATATCGATGTTGGGACATGACATGTCGTATTTTCATATTTTAGTATACACTTTTCATATTAATGGGAATTCCTATTATTTTTCAAAGATTTCTCAGAAAAACAAGTGTATCTCTGAAATGTCAACGGAGCCCTGAGAGTACCCCAAGCTTTTTATTTTCAAATAATTCAGCTCGTGTCAAGTTAATTTTGTGACCCGAGGAAACAACGTTGCAGAATATGTAAAATCCTCAAAAGTCGCTGGGAGAGGCGGCACTGCTCTGTCAACAGAGCTCGGTGCTTAAAATCGGATGTATTAGTTCACAAATCCGACTTTTTGGAATATAATGTTAATGATATGTTAGAGAAAGACCCCACTGAATGATTCAGAACATGACGAATCATATTTGTCTTGGACACCCTATGAAATGATGAAAGCAGTGACTATACAACAATGACTTACAGATAGAACGCTCCTCCAAAAGAGGAAGAGGAAGCCGATGACCCCGGCGCCTGCAGTGACCAGCACGGGTTCCCAGGACACGCCGTAGAAGTCTGGACCTGGCTTCCATTCCTCTGGCAGGCAGGTGACCATCTGAGGAGACACACAGGCCCAATCACAGTGTTCCTTCCTACAGCTCATATTTCTGGTCTAGCAAATAAGTTGGGCAATAGTTGGGCTGAGATGAAAGACAGGAAAATCATTTTACTAAACCATCAGGCATTACAGCGTTGTTCAAACTGAGCACCCTCTCAGTCAATGCAAACAGACACTTCTTCAGATCAAATCAAGGTGGGTTCAGAAATAGACCTATAACCCAGTTGTTGATCAAAATCAATAAAGAGGGTAAATCTGCCTTAACCTTATCTAATCAATGGGGATTGGCTTGGGGCCCTGCCACTGTCCAACCATAGAAACCTTTGCACTATGGACGTGGCATACAGGGACAACACAGACCATACACCTCAGTCGCTCAGTGAAAATCTGGGATTAGATCAAACAAGCTAAATTAAACACCACATTGTTGGAGTGGATCTAACAAACTAAGGCCTATGTGGATTTAGAGTGCATCATGTTCCCTTTCACCCTATAAAAAGGTGGGCAATAAACAAACAAATGACTACTTAACATAGGGCCTAGCATATAATTAATTTTAAACTGGGTGGTTCGAACCCTGAATGCTGAAAGCCTTGGTATATCAGACCGTATACCATGGGTATGACAAAACATTTATTTTTACTGCTCTAATTACGTTGGTAACCAGTTTATAATAGCAATAAAGCACCTCGGGGGTTTGTGGTATACTGCCAATATACCACGGCTAAGGGCCGTATCCAGGCACTCCACGTTGCATCACGCTTAAGAACAGCCCTTAGCTATGGTATATTGGCCATATACCACACCCCCTTGGCCCTTATTGCTTAATTATACAAGGAAAGCGGTCAAAACAACAAAGCTAAATTCAACAGCTCAAAGAAACCTCTCGATCTGAGTCCTACAGTTACAGGAAGAACGGTTACTGCTGGTAAGTGTGCAATTTTTTTTATGAGTTAGAGGACAGTCGACTTTCACTTTGATAACATTGAAACAAAAGTGCAATCAGGTGATCTATTCTAGGCTGAAACTATTGGAGAAATGTATTAGGTATTGGAGGACAACTAAACCATTCCACAAGACTTTGAAGCTGCCAACAAGATTGAGTTACAATTTAGATATAGCAAGCCATCCATTTGGTAGACTAAGACTTGGCTAGCCAGCTAGCTACAATAGCTATTACAAAGACCCCAACAAGTTAGCCTCCATAAATGCGCAGTGTCAACACTAACATTAGCAAACTACTTACATATTGAAGTTCCGTTAGAAATAAGGCGTAGAAGACAGACAGTCGATCAGATTCTGTCATCATAGGCAAAGGGGTTGTGTCTTCCGAATCCATTGTTACTTTTAGTTGACAGCTGAGTTACCTAGCTAGGCTAATGTGCTATGCAACTGGTTTGCGGAAATCCGAAAATCCTCGTTTCACAAACCTATCAACGTAGAATACTTGAGGCTCCTTCATCGTGGTTGTCTTTGACCACACAGAAGAGGCCAAGCTGTACCCATCTAGCTAGGTAAACTAATACGCTTACTAGCTAACGTTAGCTTGCTGACTGCTTCGCCAGCAACCGGTCTACTAGCGTAGGTAGCTAGCTATGCATTTAGCCTCCTTTTAGAGAATTGAACGTGATTACTTTCCACGACAAATGCACAAGTAGAAAGAAGGCTTGTACTACGAGCGGCGGTGTAATGTTTGTCCTAATCAATATGCAACAAACCGGCTGTGGTGGTCACTGAACTTCAGCCTACACTTTCCTAGGACACGTCAACAAAAAAAGGGGAAGGATCAATTAACCTGGGGTGTATTCATTCGGCACATTCTGTTGCAAAACCAAAGTTTCTAAACCTGCTGTACTGGCTTTGGCAAAACGTTTCTTAAACGAAACCTAGCTGAATTTGTCCAATAGAAACTCTCGTTTTAGTTGGAAAACTGTTTGAACTAATGATTACGCCCCTGGGGCGCGTTCAGCAGGATCAAACGTTTTTCGAACGTTCAGATAGCATAGTTCTATGTAGAACAAACATGCCTCAGACATGTTGAATAAGGAATCACATCTGCTCGGTTTACGGATTTCTATCTTCAACGTTCGAGAACGTTTTGCAACTGAACGTGGCCCTGCAGAAACTTTAACTTAATGACATCGAGCATGACAAGTGGCAAAAATATTGCTCTGTACAAAAGCAATGTTGAATTAAAAAATAATAATTGCTCAACAAAAAATAAAGACCAAAAATGTGAAAACCATGCATTGTCCCAGCAATAACTAGGCTAGATAAAATACATATGCATACCAGAGTTTCCGTTAGCAGGTAATAACCAGCTTTTGGCCTATTACATTTTTTTGAAAAGCCAATAAATAAAATTGAGAAGTAAAATTGGCGCCTGGCCAATTGTCAGGGAGAAGAAGAAAATACATTTTTAGCCTATTAATTGATGGAAATACATTTGACTGGTCATGCTTATCGGTCTATAGGTTAATTTGCATAATTTAGTGGAATTAAATTGGTGTGTGTGTAGGCTACAGTATATTCATTATGCATCTTATTTATCACACATATAGCATACAGATACAGAGCCCTTGAGAGGAACATCTGTCAGACAGCCAGAGAGCAGCAGCATCTCAAACAGCAACGGAAGGCAGGCTTCATCAGTGCATCACACCACTTTGCAATGAGCAGGAGGCAGTAGACTATGCATTTTGAAAACATATACTTAAATTGTTTGAAACCTGAACATTTTAATACATATGAGGCATGTCAGAATTCGGTAAGAAGAACCACACATTGTTGAATCCTCGACTTGCATGTTCTGTTAATATTAATTACCATAATCCAAATGTAATTTCTGTCATTCTGAGCACCCACCCTAATCAGGTTACGCAACCAATGCATATGGGTCCCAGATTTCTTAAATGTCCGGTAAATTAAAATGTTGCCGGTCAAATGTCCAGCGCCACATTTTCCTAATGGAAACCCTGATGCATACCACACTTGAGTCCTAAACACTAATTTCTGACAGTCTGAAAAGGTAGTGAATTAATAGGAAGGCAACCTCATTCATAGACAGAAGTACATTAAGTAACTTACCATAACAGCATATATTCCAAGGTACTCATAAACCAGGGTGACTAGACTACCAGAGAAAATTAACACCGATACGAATGATGAACCACTCTGCTCCTCTTCCTGGAAATCAGAAACAGGGGGCGACTCCAGAGAGTCTGGCAATAAAGGACAAGCAAATTAGGTTCATGTCCGCACAGTTTATCCCTCACAATAATCTCAAAAGTAGAAGATGTTTAAAGAGCACATACCTGAGGAAGGGTGCTCCATGTCAACAAGTCCCATGTCCAAGGTATTTTCCAAAATAGCTTGAGGGCCCCTCTGGATTTCTTCTGGCTGATTGTCTTGGTTTCTGTTAAAATGCCCAACATCCTCCTCAAGACCCATATCTGGTCTGTTGTGGCCTTCATCATGGTTAGGCTTCTCCTCAGGTGCCTTAGTCTCTTCACCCGTCACAGTGAGGTTGTCCTCGTCTGTGTCCCCCACAGAGTGCGGGAACGTCTTTTCTTCCTCTGCATCATCAGACACGTCCCCATCTTTTCAAACATTTATAGCGGTTCAAACAGTAAGTACATTTTCATGCTTTGCAATCTAACTGGCATTGTCAGGGTGTGGTTTTGTACTATGTCAACAGACTACGATTTACTTTGTTGTACTTCATAGGCCTTTGTTAAAGATGGAATCTGCAGTAGGGGGAAACAGCGCCACTGGCCACCCCACTACCGCCGGCTGAGGACTATAGTGCAGCATGGTCTAAATCCATTTCAGTACATATTGTGCTCTTCTATGGCGCGTACAATGATGTCAGAGGGGAAAATAAACAGTGTTTGTTGTTTGCAGTAACTTTGTTGTTGTAATATCGCAAATGGACAAGGCCTTTTCACCATTAAGGATTCCAGCTTATCATGCAAACCCAATCACCAGACATTATCATCATGTCATTTGCAACGTATGACATTTTCCAAATATATTAATTTAACAAAGGTTTTAATACTCTGACATTAACAAACTGAAGAAAATAAGCAATCTTACCTGTGTCAGGGTGTAGTTGACTGCCCGCTGCCAAGGGAGCACTGTCGCTGGCCGTTGAGTACTTCTGATGCAGGGTGAACGCCAACTCTTGAAAGTCGTCCAAGATGGTGGCTTCCTCATCAAACTCACCAGCCTCCTGCTGCACGTCAGCATTCTCCCGGGAATCCAGCATCCTCTCAATCTCATCCAGGATTGGGGTCTCAGAGGCCTCCAAAATGGCCTCCAGCACCTTTTCAATGTCCTCACTGGTGTTTGTCTGGGACATCCGGGCAGCCTTCAGCTCCTTCTCCAGGTCAGAGAACAAGAACTCCACTCTGAAGAGGTTATGAAGACCCAGAATCTTCTGGAAGCGCTCCATATCCTCTTCCTTGAAGTGGTAGCGCAGTAGTGTCAGCCTCAACACATCATCACTGTATTCTGTCTCTTGGCCTGAAAGGGGATCTGGAGCTTTGTCTTCAAGTGAGGGTGTACGGGTTTGATCCAAGCCTGCGCTTTCTGAATATTTTCCTATGTCATGCTCCTCAGGTTCTATGTCAATAGCCTCCTCATTTTGGACCACATCCAACTCATCACTCGATACAACCTCTGTTTCTGTAGCATTATTGGATAGCTCTGACCCAAATTCAGATGGACTTTCTTTGTCCTTATCATCAGTGTGCTCGGTTTTGGATGAAGAAGACAATGCTGCATTTTCATCCTCTAGCAACTCTTCCTCAATCTCCAAGTCCTCTGGGTCTATCAAATCCTCCTTATCTATGGAGAGTTCTTGATGGCTCTCTTTAACCATTGTGTTTTTAGTTGGATCTGGGACCTTACGTCCTCTGAAGCGTCTGAAAAGCTCTGTGCCACCCTGTTTCAACTTATTCTCTACTTGTGAGAAATCTCTTGACTCTTTTTGAATGGGGAGTTCTTCAACAGTTTGTTTCTGCTCTGATACGTTAGTTTTACTATCAAATTCTGTCTGTGAGACTTGTTTAGGGACTGGGCTGTCATTTACTGTAAGATTCTCTGCTAACGCCTTCTCTGTATGTTCCAAGGGAACCACCTCATCAGCAGGTGGTGTTGAAGGTTCAATGTCACCTTCTTCAGGTTCATCCTCAAACTGCAACGTCTGGGAATCCTCATCAGGTATTTTGACAGCCTCCTCAAGGAAATTAGATTCTACAGGTTCCTCAAAGATTAACTCATGTGGCTGTTCTGTTACCTCTGGCTCCTGCTTTGGGTCGTTGGCTAGCAGCTGTATATTCTCCTTGGGTTCTTTTTGTATGGGGAGTTCTTCAACATCTTGTTTCTGTTCTGATTCGATAGTAGTACTATCAAAGTCTGAGAGCATTTCTGTCTGTAAGACGTGTTTAGGGACTGGACTGTCATTTACTGTAAGATTCTTTGCTAAAGCCTGCTCGGTATGTTCAAAGGGAATCACCTCATCAGCAGGTGGTATTGAAGGTTCAATATCACCGTCTTCAGGATCATCCTCAAACTGCAACGTCTGGGAATCCACATCAGGAATTTTGACAGCCTCCTCACTGAAATTAGAGTCTATAGGTTCCTCAAAGATTAACTCATGTGGCTGTTCTGTTACCTCTGGCTCCTGCATTGGGTCATTGGCTAGCAGCTGTATATTCTCCTTGGGTTCTTCAATTTTGGGAGGCTCCTCTGGCGCAATCTCACCTTCATCATCATCCTCGTCATCTTCCTCTGAACCGGTGACATGAGCTGTTCTTTCCCCACCACTGACAATGTTAAAAACTGTATCACCAAATGAAGACCACAGGTTCTTGTCCTTGGAGTCCTGTTTTTCAGCTGTCTCTGATGGACTCTCTTCCTCATCTGTCTGATCAGATTCCGGAATGTCCTTGTGTTCTAAATTAGAATGTTCTGCAGAAAAAGCCAGCAATGGAGTTTCCCTAAGACGATAATCACTTTCCTCATCCTGCTGATATTCAAACTCTTCACTTTCCTCGTCTTCCTCGTCATATGGAGTCACCTTCCAAGTGTCCTCGTCATCGGAGGTGACAGCATCAAAAGTTGTTCCAAGTGTAGTTTTCAACTCAGGGACAGGTCTGCCTTCTGAAAAAACATCAGGCGCATTCTCCAACTCAGGATCATCTTTGGATAGAGGTTCTGAAAGGCTTTCTTTGGTCTCACCTCGCTCTGGTTCAACAACACTGTCCGGCACGGAGTCCTCGGTCCTCAGCTGATATTTCTGAAGGTCATCTTTGATTTTCTCAGCTGTGGGCTCAACTACTGTGTTAGATTCAACTCCCTTTGTGTCAAGAGTTTCGGTCGCGGTTTTAGGCTGAGGTATAGAGGACTCTAAAGGCTCAAAATGGCTTGGATCTTTATCTGGAACCTCCTCTAAAAGCTCATCTGGAACCTCCTCTACAACCTCATCTGGAACCTCCTCTACAACCTCATCTGGAACCTCCTCTACAACCTCATTTGGAACCTCCTCTAAAAGCTCACCTGGAATCTCCTCTACAACCTCCTCTACAACCTCATCTGGAACCTCCTCTAAAAGCTCATCTGGAACCTCCTCTACAACCTTATCAATGTCCTCAGGAACATCACTATCAATCTCATCGTTTTCTAACAGAGTCACTTCAGGTGGAGGCTCATCCACTTCCACTGTGGTGCTCTCTGCACTTTTGTTTAGGTCTAAAGTCTCTGTGGTTCCTTGCACAGATTCTTCCTGGTCCGTTAACAATAAGGAGGAGACTAACAGTGACTCAATGTCATAACTGTCAAACTTATCGTGTCCGGTGTCGAAACAAACAAAGTCGGTTTCCTGAAAAGAAAAAGAGAACATTGTTTGAGTCATACTACCCATTACAGAAAGTAGTTCAGGCATTTCAGATAATTTCTTAATGATGCATTGGCAATAAACGGAATACTATTTATTTTCTTACCTCAGCAGGAATCTCCAATTCTTTTTCAGTGTATATGTGATTGATTGCGAGTTGGTCCTTATGGAAGTAACCAAAGCGGTTCCCAACCTATTGTAAGAAATGGAAACAAAACAAAGAACTAAACATAATGTTAACAAAACAGAAAATGCTCCAACATCCATTATAGACTGCAATGTTATCACATTATTAAATATTAACTCATACTTACACTCCCCGCCCATATATCTGTCCTTCTGCCTGAGAGTTTATAGTAGACATATATAGTCTCTCCTTTTTTAAAAGACAGGAACCGACAGTCTGGTCCAGTGAAATCGCTTGAAGCTTTCCCCCGGCACAGGAGCACTGTGGAGAGGAAGGATTCACAGATCAGTTGTTGTGGAGATGTCACCCATACCAAACCTCTCATCCAATGACTCAGCCATGGACAGTCTTTGGGCATCCACCTTAAGTGCCCCATGCACAATCAGGGTGTAAATACACATCTAAGGTAAGCCTTGTTTAATCTGCTTATCTGTTTACAATTTACAGTGAGAGTATCAAGGCATTAAGGGTTAAATGAAATAGCTATTGTTTTTGATAAGGCAGATGCAAAAAGACAAGAACTTGCAAGCAGAGAGGGGTTAATGACATTACTTTTTTTATGTAAACAATATATAGCTAGCTAAGCCTATACCAGCTTGCAATTGAGCTAGTCACAGTGAATGTGGCTATTTGCTTCCTAAAAGCCAACACAGAAGTATGATAATCTTTAGGGATGTAGCTCAGTTGGTAGAGCATGGCGTTTGCAACGCCAGGGTTGTGGGTTCGATTCCCACGGGGGTCCAGTATGAAAAAATAATTTTAAAAAATAAATAATGTATGCACTCACTAACTGTAAGTCGCTCTGGATAATAGCGTCTGCTAAATGACGTAAATGTAAATGTTTAGGGTCCGTTTAGTTAGGTAGCTAGTTGATTAAAATATTACTTGGCTAACAAATCTCTATTGTATGTATGGTAGGCTAAGTTGGCTAGTTAGCTAACCAATAACACTGCCAGCTCAACTCGCCAGCTATGTTGTGTAGTCCACACTGGTGAACATTGCCCATGAAGCACTGGGGCCTTCAGTGGCTTTGATTTCAATAAAATATGTAGGCTGAAAGCTTGTTTACATGGTGCAAGCTACTACAGAAACCCCGTAGGTAACGTTAGATAAGCTAGCTCCAGAATTGGGCCAGTAGCCAACCATGGCTTCGGCTACAACCAAGCAAAGCAGGTTACTAGCCATTTCTTGGTCTAGTTTGACGGCTTGTAATATATTACGTTACTCGTCTCGTGCTGATAAGAATACTAACGACAGTGCTTTTATCTAGGTTAGTCGAGTTCATCCCTTTGAAATGGCAACAGGTCAAAGATAACGCCGGTTTATTAGTTAGCTAACTGCTACGTTGCATTGAGGTCGGGAGAGTGCATTGACCGATCGATGGAAGCATCATTACTTAAAGTTCACGTGAGCTAAGCCAAGTACTTACAACTGCATTCCTCGTCGGCACATCGTTTGAAGTCGGAGAATCTCCTTTCGACGGCGGCTTTGGATATGAAATTATGAATAAATATAATTAAGAAGTATACATGAGAAACATTTACAGCCATGTCGGCAGTTGGGCAGGCTCGAGCATGAGCAGATGAAGCCGACACGTCAGCAAATCCAAGGCTGGAGCAATTTGCAGGATGTTGATCGTGGAGTCAAATATCAAAAACTGGGCGGACAAGGACAAACATTAAAGAGCAAGGCCATGGAACCAGAATGCAGAATATAATCTTTTTTTGAATCGCATACGTTCTGATTCGTGTTTATTACGTCTTGGATGGATACACCTGAAACATTCCACAAGTTTACTGGCAAGTGTTCGCAATTTCCTTTTCGATTTCCCAATTCAATTTGTCAACCTGACTACAGCAGATTTATTATGATACCTCAAAAGATGTGTGTGATGTACACGTACATTGTTTTTCAGGGGTACCCAAACAAACAAACCAAATACAGAGAGAATATGACACTGAATCTCTCGTAGCCTCAGGGTGGGTAGGCTATCCTTTCTACATGAGGGTGGTGCATTCCCCTGTTCTCAAAATAGTAGCCACTCTACCATCAAGGCCCACGGTAGCATGGTAGGGCTCCTATTTGGGGGGGACCCTCAATTGTGGTAATGATCAAAGTCACATGTCATTGCAAATTAAATGACATAAAGGCATTGCAACTTATTACAGGCCTATACCAAAGACAAACCTCTTTCTGCTTATTCTTACAACCAATAAAAGTGATGTTGGGCTGGGTGTGCTCCATTCCACATTCAGGGTAAATATCTCCCCTAGGTATTGACTTTATTGTTTTAAAAGGGATCTCTATTACCCTCCCATAAATAATAATATCTTCCCCAGAACTATTTGAGGCCTACTTGCCTTCATTATTCCAGGGATGTGAGTTACTGAACCGCTGCACTGAACCTACCAATGATTTGCTAGTATATTCTCACTTGGTTATATTACCTACTCACTTCGACCAATAGGTGCTTTAAAAGTGCATGCCTGCTTTACTTTTTATTTTATTAAACAACAGTAACATACAAAACAATAGACAGAACAGCCAGAGTGATTACATGAAAAATAAATTACAAAGAGGACAAATAAAAATAAATTCACATTATATCAAATACAGACAAGTAGCGAATACATTTGAGACATTTAGCTTTGCATACGTTTTAATGCAAGACTAATTTTGATTTGTGTATGAACATTTTTCCTAATAAAATAGAGATTAATGACATACTGACGTTCAATTATAGAATCTGTGTAGTAAAATAATGTCAAAATTGGATATTTCAATGGTTGTATGCATTTTGTTGCCAAGATATAGCATCAAATCGGTCCAGAAAACCTCACTATGCAAACAACCACAAAATGAGTGTTCAATAGATTCAGTTTCTAGTTCACAAAAACTGCATTCACTGGTAATATCAGGTATCTATTTAGAAATCAAGTTAGTACAGGGGTAGAATCCATGGATAATCTTAAAGGAGATATCCTTTACTTTGTTGGTCACCATAAATTTGTGAGGAGTGAGCCAAGCACGGCGCCATTTCACATCAAACGATGAAGCCCAACAAAATATGGCAGAAGGAATAGATTTCCTGTAGAAAATATTCCTTTATAAATGATTGTTGAATTTCTTGTCTAGTAAAACTATGCCATTCATCTGGATATCAGGAACAGGAAGTTTACCCATAATATAAGGTAATTGTAGTAAAACAATTAAGCCCTCAGAGCTTCTGAAAAACCAAAATGAGGTACAATATTAAAAAAAGACGATTTTTTATTAAGTACCTTTTTAACCCAGTTGACTTTTGTTATTTGATTAAAGAGAATGAAGTCTAAGACATTTAGACCACCATCACAAACCCTGTTGGTGAAAACATCTCTTTATTTTTGATAGTTTTTCCATATGAAGTTGTACAATAGCCTATCTAAGGTACAGCAAGTGGATTTTGGAATGTCAATAGATAGTCCCTTAGCCTTGGATAAACTCACCCTCCCTTGAAGACTTAAATCACTCCCTAACCATGAGGATAATTTATTTTTGATTCAGTTACAGGATTCAAATTAAGATCATTCATAGCCTTGAGGTTTTTGGTGATCTTTACACCCAGGTAGGATACAGTATCTTTTCCTGAGATGTTACAATCTGCTGGATTGACACCTCCCTTAAGAACAAACATCTCACTTTGGAAAGGTTTAATACCGAACCTGACATTTTGGAGAACTGCTTCACAATATCCAATGCCAATCTAGCTTGTGACACAAAAAAAAGTGAGGTGTCATCCAGCTGTCTATATCTTGATCTCTCTGGCCTGGAATGTAATGCCTTCAAATTGACTTTGAGAAACTAATGAGCATAAGGTTTGAGTTACTAACAACAACAAAAGGTGAGATTGGACAACCTTGTCGTATTCCTTTGTGAATGTTAAACCTTGAGGTTGTTCCATGACAGAGTTTGATACAGCTATTGCCACCTTTTTATACAGAGTTCTAATGGCATCAACAAAAAAGTTACCAAACTTAAAATGCTGAAAATCCCAAAATAAGATAACAGAGAAGTCATCCAAAAGATCACAGTACTCAACCAAATCTAACACCAGCCTCAGATTATTACACACCACTTCCATAAACCATGATTGACATTCATCAATCAGATCATTCAAGCCTGACTTTAACCCTTTTGCAAAGATTGAGGCTATACTTTTGTAGTCGTTATTGTGGAGTGTAATTGGACACCAGTTATCAATAAATAAGAGATCCTTGTGTAGTTTAGGTATGAGAGTAATAACCTTGCTTTAGAGGCAGGTAGTTCTCCCTTATTTATAGCCACCTTATCAAATCAATTTCAAGTTTAAATTTCAAGTAAAAATTGTGCTGTTTCTTCAGCGGTTTTGTAAAATTCAGAGGGTAATCCAACACTGCCTGGATACTTTTTTAAATTGAGCAATCCCATATTGGATGTCCATAATGGACAAATCTTGACAGCAAGTCCGATTGAATTCTTCACTAACAGAGTTAACATTCTCTTTAGAATAAAATAGTTTAGAGTCACTGAAACTGTTATCTAAGGAGTAAAGATTCTCATAAAATTTAGTGGTAAAGTCTGATAACTCTCTATCCTCAGAGGTTACCCAATTAATCTTACCTTTCCGAAGTGTTTTGAGTTCCCTTCTATTTTCCAAATTAAAAAAGTATCTACTCTTCTTTTCGCATTTTTCAAGCCATTGTTTTCTGACCTTATGAAGGCTCCTAGCCTTTTTTCCTTATATCGTTTATGTAGTTGATTCTGTAAATCATTCAATTTAGCCTTCTCATTAAGATCAAGATGCTCAATCTCCATGATATCAGCAATTTTATTAGATAGCTCAGTTACCTCACATCTTAAAGCAAGCAGCTTCCCATAAGTAATACAGGCTGAGCAGATTTTAAATTGCAGCACTTCCCAATATTTCCCATATAGCGAGCAATATTAATGGCGTGTTTTTGTTGGCACTAACTCCACAGTGGTTCGTTGAACAAAGCCTATTGAAAAATGAATGTTGTTTTTGGATAAAACGCATAAAAAAAGGTCTGTGGTAAACACAGGTTTAGGAGATCGTTTTGTTCTATGAGATCATCTTCATCAACTAACGTCACCTTTTGTGAATTTTTAGTAATTTATGTCATTTTAAAAACCGCATAACGTACATAAAGGCTACATAATTCATAAAGGTCTTGTTAACTGACTGATATTATTATCCCTACATTAGAGGTAGAGACTTTGTTTACTTACTAACGAGCGGAATAAGTATTTTCCACCAATGATAGAATGCCAGAAAGCTCTTCAGGAAGTACACCGGAAGTGAGACATGTTTTGAACAAGAGAGGAAGAGGCGAAGCGAGAGGGATAACTGGGCGCAAAATCTGTCTTCTCCAGCAGGTGGCGATTTTTTGTTTCTTTCCGCTCACTAAGCGAGGAGTTTTTGTATGGAGGTCAATGAGAGTGTCGAATTTGGTTAACAAAACATTGAATGGCTTATTTGCTGCGTCTGGCTTATTTGATTGAATAGAAGTTTCATACTTATTAGGCTATTACGAGTGTACTGATATAAGTCCTGTGTAGCTCAGTTGGTAGAGCATGGCGTTTGCAACGCCAGGGTTGTGGGTTCGTTTCCCAAGGGGGGCCAGTATGAAAAAAACACACACAAACAACATGTATGCACTCACTAACTGTAAGTCGCTCTGGATAAGAGCGTCTCCTAAATGACAACATTTTTCAATTTTAAATGTATAAGTAGGACACGTGACATCCAGGCAACTTTGAGAAAAAACACTTTATATCGGAGTTGTGCCTGGTCGGTACTAGTTACCACAGTCACAAAGTCATAAACCCCGCCTATTTCTACAACGTATGTTCTTGAAATGTGATTTTAAACCTAACCTTAATCACACTGCTAACCTTATGCTTAACCCTAAATCTCGTTTTTGTTTTCATACATTTTTACGATATCGCCAATTCTGACTTTGTGGCTGTGGTAACCGTTGTGCTTTTTTTCACACGCGTATATGCCCTCTAATTGGCCACCTGATCTTGCCTCCTCCCGACTGCATTCCATTTTTTAAGACATTTAATTTAATTGTTAGAGCGGCTACTAGAGTATCTGTGTTTTAACGAAAAGCATGCATGAGGTTACCTACATTATATTTTGGTAGAATCTGACATATATACACTGCTCAAAAAAATAAAGGGAACACTTAAACAACACAATGTAACTCCAAGTCAATCACACTTCTGTGAAATCAAACTGTCCACTTAGGAAGCAACACTGATTGACAATACATTTCACATGCTGTTGTGCAAATGGAATAGACAACAGGTGGAAATTATAGGCAATTAGCAAGACACCCCCAATAAAGAAGTGGTTCTGCAGGTGGTGACCACAGACCACTTCTCAGTTCCTATGCTTCCTGGCTGATGTTTTGGTCACTTTTGAATGCTGGCGGTGCTTTCACTCTGGTGGTAGCATGAGACGGAGTCTACAACCCACACAAGTGGCTCAGGTGGTGCAGCTCTTCCAGGATGGCACATCAATACGAGCTGTGGCAAGAAGGTTTGCTGTGTCTATCAGCGTAGTGTCCAGAGCATGGAGGCGCTACCAGGAGACAGGCCAGTACATCAGGAGATGTGGAGGAGGCCGTAGGAGGGCAACAACCCAGCAGCAGGACCGCTACCTCCGCCTTTGTGCAAGGAGGAGCAGGAGGAGCACTGCCAGAGCCCTGCAAAATGACCTCCAGCAGGCCACAAATGTGCATGTGTCTGCTCAAACGGTCAGAAACAGACTCCATGAGGGTGGTATGAGGGCCCGACGTCCACAGGTGGGGGTTGTGCTTACAGCCCAACACCGTGCAGGACGTTTGGCATTTGCCAGAGAACACCAAGATCGGCAAATTCGCCACTGGCGCCCTGTGCTCTTCACAGATGAAAGCAGGTTCACACTGAGCACATGTGACAGAGTCTGGAGACGCTGTGGAGAACGTTCTGCTGCCTGCAACATCCTCCAGCATGACCGGTTTGGCGGTGGGTCAGTCATGGTGTGGGGTGGCCTTTCTTTGGGGGGCCGCACAGCCCTCCATGTGCTCGCCAGAGGTAGCCTGACTGCCATTAGGTACCGAGATGAGATCCTCAGACCCTTTGTGAGACCATATGCTGGTGCGGTTGGCCCTGGGTTCCTCCTAATGCAAGACAATGCTAGACCTCATGTGGCTGGAGTGTGTCAGCAGTTCCTGCAAGAGGAAGGCATTGATGCTATGGACTGGCCCGCCCGTTCCCCAGACCTGAATCCAATTGAGCACATCTGGGACACCATGTCTCACTCCATCCACCAACGCCACGTTGCACCACAGACTGTCCAGGAGTTGGCGGATGCTTTAGTCCAGGTCTGGGAGGAGATCCCTCAGGAGACCATCCGCCACCTCATCAGGAGCATGCCCAGGTGTTGTAGGGAGGTCATATAGGCACGTGGAGGCCACACACTACTGAGCCTCATTTTGACTTGTTTTAAGGACATTACATCAAAGTTGGATCAGCCTGTAGTGTGGTTTTCCACTTTAATTTTGAGGGTGACTCCAAATCCAGACCTCCATGGGTTAATACATTTGATTTCCATTGATCATTTTTGTGTTATTTTGTTGTCAGCACATTCAACTATGTAAAGAAAAAAGTATTTAATAAGATTATTTCATTCATTCAGGTCTAGGATGTGTTGTTTAAGTGTTCCCTTTTATTTTTTTGAGCTGTGTGTATATATATATATTTATTTATTGTGGGCTTTCACATGATTGTCTACGAAATAGGTTGAACTTCAAACGGTGAGTCATGGATGATCTTGAGTCAGAACTGAGGGTGCCAGGTGAACTGGGCGAAAATGAGTCTTCAGATGATGAATCAATCAACAGAAAACGAATCAAGAAGCCAAACCTTCCCCTGGCGCCTCCTATATTTAAAGGTACTTTATAAAATACAGTGTGTAGACGAATATGTGAACAGCTAGTTTATTAGCTTGACAATGTTCTACCTGTGGCTGTGATGTTTATGCTTGCTCTGGACCCATCGCGCCACGAGAACAATGCACGACGCCCTGGACCAGAGCTATATTTATGCCTGATTATTGTGTTCATCATTGTGTAAGATGCTCTCTTCTTAGTCCTATTAACCAGTCTGTCTCCTGTATCATCACAGAGAAACCCTGTGAGACTGGTTTTCACAAGACCACAAGGAACTGCCTCCAGCACATCAGGGAGGCCCTGCTGCACCATAGATGGCAGAAAGCTGCCGAGTACATGTCCAGTTACTCACAAACACTGGAGGACACAACTGCAAACATGCCACAACTCTACGCTGAGGTAAGTATATCGTTGCTCTGACTAAACACTAACAAAAATAACTCAGAAGTACTATAGAAATGTTAAATCAGATTTCTTCAAACGTTGTCCTTCAGATCATTTGGAGGATAGGCACAGAGATACTACACCACCATCCCGACTCAAAGCTGGAAGACTACAACAGTTTCTATGAGCGAGTGAAACACTCAGGAGTAAAACATTACCTGAAAGTATGTTCATTCTTATGTTCTTTGCTTGACCTATGCATTCATTTTTTTTTTACTATCACCTCTCCTAAAGTACCCTAAGTCAATAGGTTAAAAAAGTCAATATAGGACAAAGTCAATACTTTTTTATATGTTTTGAGCCAGTATGACACCTTCAAAAACAAACAAATGGATGGAATATGTAAACAATGTGTTTTAACATGGAAATGTATGTGAATGTACATTGAGGAAGTGTTTTGTCCAGTAGGTCTGTCTGGAGCACTCGTTCCACCTCCTGGTGAATGGGCAGTTTGAGGACGCCAAGCGTCAGCTGTCCATTGCTGAGAGCTGGCGGTACGGCAAGCAGTCAGCCGATCAGTCCCAGCGGATTAAGTTGATCCAGGCCTACAGTGGCTTCCTGGATTACATCATCTGGTGTGAAAAAAAAGCCACTGTCTCCAGCACAGGTAAGAGGATACCTGCCAACCCCCAAGCATCCATTATTCATTGATTTCAATTACATTGGGATAGTAGAAATCTTCATGTTGTGTTACATCACCATCTACTGGAAAGATAATGTAACTGTCTTTGGGGACATTTTTTTAAATTTTTATTTCACCTTTATTTAACCAGGTAAGCCAGTTGAGAACAAGTTCTCATTTACAACTGCGACCTGGCATAATTCCAATGCATTTCAAACATCATGGTAAAACAAAGAGTAACCAGACCCTGAGGTGCCTTGGCTTAGCATGGACTTTGACATTATTATTTCAGATGAGTATGATGCAGGTGTCAATCAAGAGATGCACAGCTACTTCCGCCAATCCTCTGTGAACCTGAAGGAGATCATGAAGCTTCCTGGTGTCTGGGATCCTTTTGTTCTGAGTTACATTGATGTAAGTACTAGTTTGAGAAAACATTTCAAAACAGAATGGGACGGTATAACCTGAACTTGACACATATTTTCATTTTACGTTTCAAAGAGATTTGCTACGATTTGCCCTACTGAACACGACCCCTGGCATCCCTTTTTCCCATCATTGAACTACGTTCCCTTATCAGACTACATTTTTACATTTTAGTCATTTAGCAGATGCTCTTATCCAGAGCGACTTACAGTTAGTGAGTGCATACATTTCCATACTGGCCCCCCGTGGGAATCGAACCCACAACCCTGGCGTTACAAGCGCCATGCTCTACCAACTGAGCTACACAGGGCCTGTGTACCTATGATGAGCTAATGTTTTGACTTGTGTGTGTCAATGGCAGATGCTGGAATTCTACAACGATCACGAGGGAGCTGTGAAAGTTCTAAATGACTACGCCTATGACAACAATTTGCCCCCCAACCCCAATGCCCATGTCTACCTCTACCGGTACATGAAGAAACACGACCACCCATCAAAGAAACTGCTCAAAGTGCTGAAGGTAGGACTGAGGCCATTGTTCTTGACAAAGGTATCTAGCAGAAACGATGGGCACTGGCTTCTGTTTCTGTTTGTTTAAACTTTATTTTGTATTCAATTAAAATCTTATATATTTTTTTGAGGTGTGCCCTTTCCTTTTACAATGTAGAGTATTCTAGGAAAGGCACCAAAGAGGGTGTGTGAATGGGAGTAGGTGGGAATCGTACTCACAAAACATTATTGTTAATTTAGCTGTATGTTTATAGTTGGCTTATTGAATGTTAAATTAAGCCATGGAAAATAATGTTTGCCTTAGGTTGACCTCCCTAAAAAAAGTAATTACAGTACTTTTGATAGATGTAATTGCTAAGCTCTAGGCTACAGTTAGTCCTGCACTCCTCTGCCCTCTGAATAGCATACTAGTACAGTAATGTTTAATTAGTCCATGTTTTCTATTACATTTGCCTTAGATCCTGCATACATTGGTCCCAAGTCATGAGTTAATGCTGGAATACTGTTCTCTTCTGCTACAATCCGGTAAGTGTGTGTGTTTTATATATTTGCTTTTCAGTGTCTTAAAAGGACCCAATGCCCTAGGGCAGGCATGCGCAACTCCAGTCCCCGGGGGCCTGATTGGTGTCACACTTTTCCTCCAGCCTTGTAGCCAACACACCTGATTAAACAAATTGCATTCTAAACTGAAGATGATGATTAGTTGATTATTGGAGTCAGGTGTGATAACAGGGGCTGGGGCGAAAGTGTGTCATCAATCAGGCCCCCGAGGACTGGAGTTGCCCATCCCTGCCCTAGGGTGTAATATGTAAAAAAATCTTGATGTTTTCGTCATGTTTCTATCATCTCAGGGGCTTTTACATGAAGATGAATGTGTTTGGTGGATGCACCTTTCACACTGACGGTGTTCATAGTAAAGGGGGAGTCTATTTGTTTCAGACAAAGAGGGGGATCTTCAGAAGGCTCTAGGTGTGGTTCTGGATCTCCTGGACTACGCCAGTTGGAGGAGCAACTTGGATGTCTGGAACCATTTGATGACCATCATCAAGAGGCTGAGGCTCAGGTAAGGATGGCTGCATGAATCCATACTATTCTCTCTCAAAAGGATGATTTTGAAGTTCCTCTCCATTCAAATTAATTAAAGTCAGCTTACATTGCTTGTATCTCTTCTCATTGCTAATTGACAACATTTGTGATATGTTTCCTTTTCAATACTTATAATTCCACTGGTTGATATTTTCCTTTAGAAAACAATGGCTGAAGCTTGTTGAAGAGGAGATGGCGAACAGAAAGGACTGGTGGCTAGCAATGCACTTCACAACATTCCAGGCCAGGAGAGACTTGGCAGTGAATAGAGAGCTACTGGAAGTGAAGCGCTTTGTGGTTGGAGCCTTTTGTCCTCGCTGTAAGTAAATCTACCACAGTAACACTTTTATTTATTTTTTATTTTCTTGAGTATTACTTTCTTCCAGTTGTGTGAGATTGAGACTTCCTTATTGTCACTATTTGCGGCCTTGGCACTATGTGGCCAAATATACAATTAATTTAAGAATACATGTTTACTACCTTGAATCACCATTATTGGCTGTCCTTAGGTCTTGTTCATTCTAGGTCCTTCTGGTTCTTATAGTGGAAAATTAGCAGTATGACATCTTATGTAGTTTAATCCATTGTTGTTTCTTTTGCCAGATGCTTCCATGTACTGTGGTGTTGGTAAGGAAACCCGAAAAGGAGTTACTTCTGAGGCGCAGAAGACTAAAAGGTCCAAGAAGGCCGAGAAGGATAAGGAATCCAAGACAGCTAAGAAGGCTCAGAAGAGAACACGGAAAGCAAAGTCCAGACTGACTTTGAGAAAGCTCCTGGAACGGCGCCGGGCACATCGGCAAGAACAGAAATGTTTTAAAGATGCGTGAAGAGCTTCCACCATTGCCTGATCATAGCAGACATGACCTCCTCATGCAGTCATCGGGTCAGACTCTCTCCCCTTCCATGACAGCTGCTCCAACTACCCCCCCCCCCCCCCCCCCCCCCAAAAAAAAAAAAGAGGCAGGCCTCTCTCATTGCATTGCATGTCAAGTTCTACGATTGTCCACCAGGGAGAGCTCATACTATGGCTACATTTTGAGTCGTTCTGGATGCTGCTGAACCACAAACTGAGAGCTGTGTTCACTGTGGTAGTTTGTAGGTGAAAGGGAGGCTGGGTATGCTGCGGTATTAGGTCTAGGACAGGGTACACAGCTCTACAACCAGTAGATCACGAGCCAACATATGAGTAGCTCTCCAAGCAATTCTGAAAGTACATGCATGTTTTCCACGTGTTCCCATCGCAAACTTTCATAAACAAGCTATTGTTCAACCAAAGCCACATTGACATTATCCTACCCCTGGTTAGCCACTATTGACTTAAAAAGCCAAAAGTAACACTAAATCTGCCAATTAATTTCCAGCAATATTGCCATTTGCCTCAGTCTGTCTGCTTGGTGTGTGCATTTGTCTATCACTCAGTATGTAGCCCGTTAGCCATGCTAGTAATGATAACCCTCTCTTGTGGGTAGACTGAAAGACTTAATTAAACGTTAACTGCAAAGTAGGCTTACCTGACAAAGATATAATTATTATTTGTATCAATTGGGTGGCCATCCTTTTGCAAACTCTGCCATGACATGCTGCAGCAGTAGGCCTAACAGACATCACTAGACTGACACATTCCCCTCTTTCTAAATGTGCATTTAAAGGGGAGTTACACACCCCCCCAAAACAATTGTATGTTTTTATTTGGGACCTCAAAATTGCTCTTCTGTGATTTAAGCATTGACATGTACTCAGAACATCAATTTTTGTTGTTCCTCTATCAATAATTGTAACATTGACAGTAGAAAACAGGAAAAATGCAACAGAATTCCCGAAAATACAAAAGGTAATTTAATGGGGCCCCTTAGAGGTGTTTATTAACCATTATTTTAACAGGTATATTGACAGAAAACACATCTCATGCTAGAAAAGGTTGGAGACCCCTGATCTAGGAGGTAATAAGCTCTGAGGCTGGCTGTGGCCTCAACTGAACCTCTGCTGATTCATGGAGAACCCAGCTGAATTAACGGGGAGGCGACATGTTGGAATTGACTCATATTTTGGGACGCCAAAGAGCAGCATCATAACAGAAGCAAAAGACAATGCAGTGATACAGAGAGGAAAAAGTACATTTCTGTAAACTGCTGTTGCGATTCTTCCGTCACGTTCATGCTGACACCACAGACAACATTCTCTATCTCACACACATACAGGTGGAACGCAAGTCTGATTACTGAACACCCCTCCAGCCGCTCGATGCAGGATAACAGAGCTCACTTTCACGGGCCAAGGGCTTGCAGGCTGCTTGGGAACAGAGAACAGTGGGCCCAGCTTTATCATGATTAAGGACAACATCATACACGTTTGTTGTCAGAACCTGCGATGGAGCCTTTTGTTCCTGAACAACTAACTGTGCTTTATGACCTGTACTATTCAATGTTATGGAGTTACAGGGATCAAATACTCTGTTGATATTTTACTGTAAAGTGAGAGTGACTCTGTCGATACTTTACTGTAAAATGAGTGACTTGATTGTTTGAATTTGCGCTGTTATTGCTGTAATCTTTGTGCCTGTGGAATGGTGAATGTTACAGCTGTATTTTGTACTGTTTGTTACTGAATAAACAATTGATTAGTTGGCTGAAAAAAATATAGCCTAAATGAATAGTTGTTTATAATTGATGACTCTGAAGCTTAAGTATTTTTGTTTCACCCATGTTACTTTAGTTTGATAATATAAGTTTGTGTTCAATGTAATGCATGAGTGATTCAATATTTGACCTCAGGGTAGAGCAATATTTATGTCCTGAATGAATGTACCATAATTCACCCATAGGGAATAGACATTAATTCATTTAATTGAGCTCACATGGGTAGAGGACTGTGTGTGTGTGAAATGCAAATGTTGCCCATTATATTTCTAGTCTTGTATATCAAAGGATGTCCATGAGCATAGTCTTAAAAACTAGTGACGTCGTATTTCAAGTGGCCTATCTTCTTCATCTTCCACTTGAAATTGAAACTCGTGTTTTGGTCGCTACATGTTTTGTAAAAATGCTCTCAGGGATGTCCAAAGCCCCCACCACACCGCGCTCCTCCTATGTCTGGTAGTTTATTAAGGCTACTTGAATCATGTATTTTTATTCAATGGGGAATTCATTCTTCTGTCACCTTGTCGTTCTCTTCTGTGGATGCTTCCCTACACGTGCTCTACTCAGTCATTCTCATGGTCTAACGTCTCAGGGGCTTGCCCCAGTTTGGGTCCCGTGCCAATTTAATAAGCGTAAATGCTTGTAATGATTATGTTGTAGGAGCTCGCCATAACGTTGGCCATGCATGCAGTCAGTGTGTGCGTCCGAAATTGCACCCCATTCCCTATGTATTGCACAATTGGGAGTGCACCATAGGGAATAGGGTGCCAGTTGGGATGCAAACAGTGCCTCAGTCAGTCGACCAGGGGATGTGGCTCTATGCGTCTATCTGCTCTGCAGTCATTACATAACCAGAGTCCAGATCGCTAGGCTAGGCTAGTTAGCCAAACCACAGTGTAGCTGCTCTGGGGGGAGAAGGCAGAGACAGGGGAGTGCATCAGAGGAGGAACACATTGTCTGAGAATTAAACCTCACAGGGAGCTATTAGGAAAGGGACCAATGTTTTATATATACACTAGTTGACTGATAGGGGTCGCTGTTTTGACGCCACCGTGCCTCCATGTTGGAACCTATAGAAATGCATTTATTAATGTCTATACTCGTTTTCGACACGTTTATTCTATTACAGACACCTTAATGCATACTTTTAAATTATATTATGTGAGCTAAACATAACAAAATAAAAATAACTTTGTTCTGTGTATATCTTACACTTTTGAAGATTAATTATCTCTGTATATCAATCAAATGTATTTATAAAGCCATTTTTACATTAGCACAAAGTGCTATATAGAAACCCAGCCTAAAACCCCAAACAGCAAGCAATGCAGATGTAGAAGCATGGTGGCTAGGAAAAACTCCCTAGAAAGGCAGGAATCTAGGAAGAAGCCTAGAGAGGAACCAGGCTCTGAGGTGTGGCCAGTCCTCTTCTGGCTGTGCAGGGTGGAGATAGTACATGGCCATTAAGGCCCAATTGCTCTTCAAGATGTTCAAACGTTCATAGATGACCAGCAGGGTCATTCAGAGGTCGAGACAGCAGGTGCGGTAGAGAGAGAGAGAGTCAAAAACAGCAGGTCCGGTGAACAGGTCAGGGTTCCATAGCCGCAGGCAGAACAGTTGAAACTGGAGCAGCAGCACGACCAGGTGGACTGGGGACAGCCAGGAGTCATCAGGCCAGGTATTTTCTGTATACTAGGGAGCAAATTTCTTGTGACAAATGTTTTTTGTTTTTAGGGGTGCAACTGCATCCACGGTATTACGCAAGGTTACATTTAGATCCTCAGTTACGTGGTTAACCGATTTTTGTACTCCGACATCCTTGGGTAGGTGGAGGGAGTCTGGAAGGGCATCTAAGAATCTTTGGGTTGTCCGAGAATTTATAGCACGGTTTTTGAGGATCCTTGGTTCCTTGGTTGGTTGGTTGGGGTCTGAGCAGATTATTTGTTGCGATTGCAAACGTAATAAGATGGTGGTCCGATAGTCCAGGATTATGAGGAAAAACATTTAGATCCACAATATTAATTCCACGTGACAAAACTAGATCCAGGGTATGACTGTGGCAATGAGTAAGTCCGGAGACATGTTGGACAAAACCCACTGAGTCGATGATGGTTCCAAAAGCCTTTTGGAGTGGGTCTGTGGACTTTTCCATGTGAATATTAAAGTCACCAAAAATTAGAATATTATCTGCCATGACTACAAGGTCCGATAGGAATTCAGGGAACTCAGTGAGGAACACTGTATACGGCCCAGGAGGCCTGTAAACAGTAGCTATAAAAAGTGATTGAGTAGGCTGCATAGATTTCATGACTAGAAGCTCAAAAGACGAAAACGCAGCATTTTATTTTTTTTAAATTGAAATTTGCTGTTGTAAATGTTAGCAACACCTCCGCCTTTAGGGGATGCATGGGGGATATGCTCACTAGTGTAACCAGGAGGAGAGGCCTCATTTAACACAGTAAATTCACCAGGCTTGAGCCATGTTTCAGTCAGGCCAATCACATCAAGATTATGATCAGTGATTAGTTCATTGACTATGACTGCCTTGGAAGTGAGGGAACTAACATTAAGTAGCCCTATTTTTGACATGTGAGATATCACAATCTCTTCCAATAATGACAGGAATGGAGGAGGTCTTTATTCCAGAGAGATTGCTAAAGCGAACACTGCCATGTTTAGTTTTGCTCAACTGAGATCAAGGCACAGACACGGTCTCAATGGGCATAGCTGAGCTGACTACACTGACTGTGCTAGTGGCAGACTCCACTAAGCTGGCAGGCTGGCTAACAGCCTGCTGCCTGGCCTGCACCCTATCTCATTGTGGAGCTAGAGGAGTTAGAGCCCTGTTATGTTAATAAATAAGATATATCTTATATTTTTATCCTAAAAAGTGACAACATCAGTTTGAATGGGTATGAGCCTCATCATGGCTCCTTATGCAGGGGCCAGACAGCAACACTGAAGTTGTGTTGCACTTTGCATGGCTCTCTATAGGTCACAATGATATGGCGTGGGTCGGTTGATTGATATGGTTGATAGCCATTAGAATTGTGCCACGTGTATCCATGAGTCAATAAATATACTGACCTCAGGCCTAGAATGATAGACTATATTGCCTATAAAAATCCACCAGCTATGAATTCAATGATTTAAAAAAACAAAAACAAATGAATGTATTGAGAATCAGATTG